GTTCACAACAAAAGCCTTATCTCAAATATCCCAAATGTCCTTCTGGATAGTCAGCAAAGAGAGGGGAAACCAACCAGCCAGCCATCCAATCTTCTGAATCATTTTTTTCTTTGGCTGATGGATGGATCCAGCTGGATCTTTTCCTAGATAGAATATTTTTTGGGGGAAGCAAAAGATGACAATGATTTGACTCCACCACTATCTCAGCCTGATGGAGCTCAGAAGTTTGTCAAAAGGCAGCGAGATCTACAACAATGAAGGAGAATATCTGTAGCTCAGGGTTGACATGAGGGGTCCTTGGTGCTCTCTGAGCTTGCTTGTTTTCTTGCAGACGTTTCATTACCCTAACTAGGTAACATCATCATGTTGTTGATGAAGTTACCTAGTTCAGTAATGAAACGTCTGCAAGAAAACAAGCCAGCTCGGAGAGCACCAAGGACCCCACCTCTACAACAGTGGCCTACAGATCACATCTATACCCCTGAGCGCCTGTTTGCAGCACCCAGCATTTCCAAGACAACAATCACACCAAATAAAAAGGGTGTGATTTTCCAGGGATGCTTGGGACAAAAATAAGTAAAAACAAGAGGAGAGAAAAGTCAGACCAAATGTTCAAGTCTCCGGTCATTCTCCTCCAATCTTCACCACCACTACCACCATCTTCATCATTTTTAAATTTATTCATCAAACAAAAATTACAAATCTGAACCAACAAAATGAAAAAAACTAAAATGTGACAGGGATGATAGGCACGTCAATGCACTTGTGCATGCCCCCTGTTAAATATGGGATGAGGTGCACAGAAGTTACGTTGGAATTAAAACTGAAAGTTAGTAGCTGAAACAACTGAATTGGGTAAGACAGACTTGGACAATTCTGTTACAAAAATCAATTTTTTTTACAATCAAGTTTAAAGCGGTTTACATTAAGTTTAAAGCAGTTGTTATCATCATTATCATCACCATCACCATCACCATCATCATGATGTTTGGGTATCCTCCCCCAGCCACAAACATCAACCTTATTATACTCTAAGAAATTTAGGAAGAAAAGCAACTCTTTCACTTCTTAAAAGACAGAACGATGCAGACTAAATGGTTCTACCCTTCTAAGAACCAGCTTGTAAGCAGCAGTGAAATGAAAAGATGTGAGTGTAACTGATTCACAGTGATACCCGGAGCCAAATATGTGTAAGAGAATGATTACTGAAAAAATAAGAGGAAGAAAGATAATGCATAATAAGCAGGTAGAAGAAAATAGCTACAAATAATGTCAAGGAAAGTAAGAAACAGATAAGCCTAAAGAGGTAGAGAAAATGTAAATAAATTTTTGTAGTAATGTATTAATGAGCATTCAATTAGGGGGATAATATGTCTATATCTGTTGGGGGAGGTTGATTCACCTTTTTCTTAATAGCTTAATTGTTTGTGTGTTTTTTTCTTTTTTGTCCTCTTTGGAGTTTTGTACTTGAACCTTGTATTGAATAAAATAAAAATAGAGAAAAAAAATCATGAATATTTTAAAAAATGTAAGTGAGCAAAGCGGTAAACAAGGAAGTGATTAAATGATTTGAGACAAAAGCAAAATGAGTGAATGCTGGAGGAAATATTGTCAGGTTTTCTACAGGAATTAGAGAGGTATGATGAAGAATGAAACGGTAATAATGTTCAGCAAAAATGATGAAAGAATGCAGCAAGAAATGAAAAGACTGCAAGTATGGTTGCCTTGTGGTGAGATGGGCGGCAAATAAAATTAATAAATAATTATAACATAACTGGAGAAATGTTAAAAATATGGAGGCTATTGTCTGGAGTGTTTCTACCACTTGTTTAATGCATATGTGATAACTGCATTTATGTCTAACTGGAAAGTTCACTGTTATTGTTCCTCAATGCTAAGAGTGTTAACAAAGCGTAAACAAAGAACCAACAGGAAAATAAATCTGTTACATTTGCCTGAGAAGCTGCTTGGCAGAATCCTGAAGGTAAAACAGATGAGAATGAGTAAAATTGGGAAGTACAACGTAGTTTTATGCTAGGTGGGTAGTAGGAAGAAAGGGTTTCCACTTTGGGGGAGGTCACTAAGGAATAAATGGATCTGAGAAAATTTAGTGTACAGTGGTACCTTGGTATTTGACTGCTTCAAAACTAGATGCATTTGATATGAAAATGTTCTCCTCGTGGTTTCTTTGGTATTAAGCACGCTGCAAAAGAGGGGGACAGACGCAGAGGGCGGACAGGAAGTTGGCTGTGCTGGGCAGGTCACTGCAAAAGGAAGAGGGGGACGGTCGCAGAGGGCGGACAGGAAATCAGCTGTGCTGACAGGAAAAAGGACAGCTAGAAAGTGGCCAAAACAAAGGGTCATGTGGTAAGTCACCTGGTTTGTTTGGCACTCCTAGTTTTCAGTGCCCATCAGGCTTCCCACAACCAATTAACATCAAATACTATTACTGTACTTAGTATGGTATTTGATTTTTTTTTAAAAAAGCATATGATAAAGTAAATAGGCTTGAATTATGGAATGTTTTGTCTGGGGACTGGTTGCTGAATATGATATAGTAGGTATACAATGTAAATAAAGACTTGGGAGAATAAATAGAATACTTAATAACAGTTTCAGGGCGGGAAGATAATGACATGGCATCCTCTTAGTGGTTTAATGTATTTACGGATAAACATACAGAATAATTGTGTGGACTTGAAAATATTTTTGGTAGGGCCATACACGCATGTATAATTTTATAGGTGGACGCTGCCATGTTGTTGGGTGAGAACCTGATTGATTTGAAGCACAGATCACTTTGATATAGGAAAGGGAATTGATGGAAGAGTTAAAAGCCAAGGAATCAGTCGTAGGATGAAGTTGGTGATTTTAAAGAAAAAAAAATGCAGTGGATAAATCAATGTATAGACAGGGTGGAATTAAGAATGGATTGCAATAGAAGAAAGATATGGAGGGTTACAGTGAATGATGTTGGTGTAAACCAGGAGTAGGCAACCTTGGCTCTTTTATGACTGGTGGACTTCAACTCCCAGAATTCCTGAACCAGCCACACTGAGGGGAAAGAGAGGTTTCCAAGCTGAGCCATGCTGGCTCAGGAATTCTGGGAGTTGAAGTCCACGAGTCATAAAAGAGCCAAGGTTGCCTACCCCTGGTGTAAACTAAGGTAGTTATATTTACTTTTCTTTTTTTTTAGTTTTATGTCTTTAATTTCTTTCATTTATTATCTGCTACTCTTCCTGTACTCTGCATATTGTTGTTCATTACTAAAAGACAATGTGAAGGAAATGTATAGATGTATGCAGGATGATATTTGATTGAGACAATGATCTGCTTTACAATCATATTTAATATCAGTTGTCATCTTTGACACAGATTACTTCTTTGATAAAGAATAATTATTTGATGTAATAGTAATTGCCGCAATCAAATAGGCTATTTAACCATAGAATTATAAACACATTAGTCATTTCTCACGGGTTGAATAGAAAATATGACCTAAACTTCCAACTGGGATTGATCACAAGTAAAATATTAACAAGTAATTGATCCAATAATTGGCTACAAATAAAAATGTTATCTGAAATACCAAATGAATGAAGTCTCTCTTTCATTGTGGAAAATTTGGAGAAGACTACCCCAAATGATACTATAGTATTTAATGTAATTATATGTTATGGAACATCTGTTGCCTCTTCTCTGAAATTTCCCTTGGTGAGGTAAACTAGGCCATAAGATGAGCTAGAACACGGTTGTCAAACTGCCGGCCCACGGGCCGGATGTGTCATGCCGAAACCGCGCCCGCCCCAGTTCCGGCAACGGGGAAAAAGTCGCGTCACAACACATCACGTGACGTTGTGAGTTTGACAACCCTGAGCTAGAAGGCCAAGGGCGATGGTACTTCAAGAGAAAAATGCAGCCACACGTGAGCTCTGGAAGTGGCCCCAGACATAATGGCAGGACATTTTGGCGGGGATGTGGGTGTACCTACGGCACATGAGGTGGCAATCGTAGCGAGTCCAAGGCTGATCCCAAAGAAAGGCACGATAAGGTTGAAAAACACCACCAAGCTCAGAGAGCTTCAAGGACCCCACAGTTCAGTCCTGAGCTACAAATATGCCCTTCTATCAACAGACATGTCAAAGATAGGGTCTACAAAGGCTTGAACATGCATGAACAACTGACCCAATCTAGCCATAGATAATCTAGTACCTTTCATAACAACAGATGATTCCTGCCTTTGCATTTCTCCTACACTGGAAAGAAACCCACTAAGTCCAGCTTAGCCTTCAGCACCACAGAGTCAATCAAAGCCATCCCCTTGGTGGTCTTCTGCCACTCAAATCCAACCCCACCAGCCCTCTTTTCGGAGACCCCAGCCACTACTGCCAACCTGGGACCCCACTCCTTGCAACCCAAGCCCCCTCCTAGGGGAGGGAAGGGGAGGGGGGAAAAAACCCAGAACACCCAGCATGCATCTGTACCTTTGTAGCTCCTCCCACCCAATCAACCCCTCCCATCCTCCTTGCCTTGCAGCAGCCCCCCAGAAGAGGAGGAGGAGGAGGAAGAGGAGAAGCAGAGTTTGGTGCCGGCCAAGACTTCGGCCAGCCGCAGCTTCTTCCTTTTTCGGCCACTTTACCTGGACTTTTCCGCCCAGGGAAAGCGCTCGGTCCAGGGAGCCCCAGCTCCCCCGAGCGCCTGTCCCCCGCTCGCCCTCCCCAACCTCCCCCGATGGGAAGTGGGGGAAGCAGCAGAGGGAGGGGAGGGCTCCCTCGCTCCCTCCCCTCCGGCTCAAGCCCCGGCGGCGACGGCGACGGCGGCGCCTGGCTCTGCCTTCGCCTCCCCGCTTCCTCCGGCAACTCCGACGAGAGACCCCGCGGAAGAGCCGCCCCGGCTGCCTCCCTCCTTGCCCGCCCGCCTGCCTCCCTCCTTGCCCGTCTCCCGTGGCCGGCTGGCTGCCCCCGGGAGAAGCCCGGCCAAGCTCCGCCGGGGCGGCGTACCTCGTAAAGGTCCCCCGAAGCCATGCTGGGCTGGGGGGCAGCGGGGCTCCTCGCGCGCCCCTCTCCTCGCCGCGGCTGGCTCTGCGTGGGCTTGCTCGCGTGCCTGTGCCTCTCTCTCTCTCTCTCTCTGTGTGTGTGTGTGTGTGTGTGCGCGCGTGTGTGTGTGTTTCCCCCCACTCGCTCGCCGACCCGAGCGGGGAAAAAAAAAAAAACACCCAACAACAACTGTGCCGCCGTGCAGAATGACAGGCTTTGGGGCTCCTGTGCGCAGAATCGGAGGCGAAGGCAGAGGGTGAGAGGCGGCAGGCAGGCAGGCAGGCAGGCAGGCTGGCTGGCGTAACCGGGAGCACCGGCGGCGGCGGCGGCGGCGGGGAAGCAGAGAGCAGCGCTCCGGCGGCGCCGTGTGTGAGCCAGGGAGGGTAGAAGGCGCGCCCCCGCGCCCGCGCGCGCGCGTGGCTGCGCGCGAGTGAGCCTCTGCTTTCAGGAACCTCCCCCCCCCCCCCAGCCCAGGCGACACGAGCGGGTGGGTGGGGGCGACGGGATGAAAAGGGAGGCGGGTTCTCTCGCAGCCCTCGACGACGCCCCCGGGCCAAGCCCCCCACCCTCCCCCGCAGCTGGGGGCCACTTCGGACGCCCGGTCCAGGGGGAGCCTGACTTGCCCCCACGCAGCTGGTTGGGTTTGCTGGCTTGCTTTTTTTTTTTTTTCGGGGAGGGGGGGTGCTGCAAGTCTGCCGGGTCTGCAAAGGGTCTCTTTCCGGATGCTATTGCTCTCCCCCCTTTCCCCCCCCCCAGCCTAAGCTCGGCTTGGCACCTGCGAGGAGGAAGAGGAGGAGAGAAAGTCTGCTGCAGTCTTGGGGTGGGTATTCAGGAGAGGAGCCACTTGGAGCCATCCACGCTCAGACTCCAGTGCCACTGGCTGTGGGTGAAGGGTTGGCTTTTTTGTTGTTGTTCAGATGGGAGGTGGGCTGGGGTTCCCCTCCCTTCTTCCTCAAGATCTTCTCTTATGGTGTAGAACAGAGGTCCCCAATCTTTCGGGCACCAGGGACCGGTTCCGTGGAGAGAGGTTTTTTCCAAGGACCCAAGGGTGTGTGGTTTTGTGTGCTGCCTGCATCCCGCGGATGGGGCCTTGCTTATTTGTGCAGCCCTGTTGCTGGCATGCCGTGGCCCCGTACTGGTCCACGGACCGGGGTTGGGGACCCCTGGTGTAGAAGATCTGTGGGAGGTGAAAGTGGGGATTCCTGCCATTTCAGAAGGATGTGCGTTATCCAGGCTCCAGGTGGTATCTTGTGGGCCTTCCCTCTGCAGTTTCAGGAGCATGGTGGGAAATGAAATGGAGGCCAAGTCTGCTTGAAGCATCTCCAATCAACAGAAATGTAAGCCAGAGCAACCTGCTGGATGGTCTCCCTTAGTTTGGTCCCAATTAGTCAGGAGGAACTCTTCCCAATTTCATAATAAGCCTTACCTGGTGTGACCTGGAATCAGAAACCAGAGTGTACACCTAGACAGAGTCCAACTTCCCCTGAAGGAATTTTGGGAGTTGAAGTCCACCCATTTTAAAGTTGTCAAGGTTGAGAAACACTGTTCTAACCATAAATCGCTAGAAAGCTTTCAAACATTCAGCCAGATTCTACTTTAAGGCAATTTTTCTACTTCTGGATCATCTTCTAGGTGACATCCCTTCAGATTTTTGGAGAGTGCTATCTTATTCCCACTTCTTTTGAAGAATGAACCTGCTCAGCTCCCTCACAGCAGTTACTTTCTAACCTGGTGACCACCCTGACTAATGATTTTTGTAACCAGCTGCAATTTCTCTCAAATGTTCTAAGGACAGTTTGATCAATTGATCTTGGAATTTTTTCCAGGCCAAATGTATGCCTCAGCCTTGGGTTAAAACTTTTTCACATTTGGGACATCGATATCCCACCTATGACCACACTTGGAATACTGCATTTAGTTCTGGTCACCACGATACAAAAAAAGATGTTGGGACCCTAGAAAGAGTGCAAAGAAGAGCAACAAAGATGACAAGAGGTCTAGAAGCTAAACTTTATAATGAACGATTGATGGAACTAGAGAAGAGAAGGACAAGGAGTGATATGATAGCAGTTTTCCAGTACTTGAGGGGCCATCACAGAAAACAGGGTCAACCTATTCTCCAAAGACTTGAGGGCAGAAGAAGAAGTGACGGATGGAAGATCTTTAGAAGAGAGCCAACCTAGAATTGAGGAGAAATTTCCTGACGGAACAATTAATCAGTGGAATGGCTTGCCTCCAGAAGTTGTGGATGCTAAAATTTCTCAAGAAAAGATTGGACAGCCATTTGTCCAGAATGGCTTAAAGTCTCCTGCTTGAGCAGGGAGTTGAAGTAGAAGACCTCCACGTAGATGCTTGTCTTTCCTTCCTGAAACTCAACTACTTCATTCACACTTACACATATACATGTACTCTGTCAAGTCCTTGAAATGTTTCACTAACTCAAAAGAAAAGCATATTCTCATCTGCTGCTTGATGATTTTGTGCATCATAAATCCAGCCGATAGAAATGATCCAAACGACAAGAAGAGAATGCCTTAAATCAGTGTCGTTAAATAAATGTGTCAAGTGAATAGCAATCCCTAGTTTAGTAATTCAAGCCATGGAGATGGCCAAAAGATGGTTGCCTTTTCTGCAATGAAATTCCTTCAGATTTCATAAAAAGTTGATTCCATCACCTTTCTGGATGATGCTAAAACTATTTTGGAATCCTTCCCACCTCACTGCTGAAGCAAAGAATGTAAAAACAACATCAGATGACTACTTTGCTTGAAAAGTTGGGCTCTTCTAAAGTTCCAATGAGTTCTCCTCCAGTTTTTTGGATTCCATCAATATAACTGGGACTGTATTTAACGTATAAATATTTCTATTAATAGTAATAGTAGTATCTGAACTATAGATTCCTATGGAGACCACTTTGTGAAAAAAAGGATTTTCATATACAATCTACTCTTTGCACCTCATAATCAAGTTTGTGCAAAAGCACCCTAGAACACCCACAAGAATTTTACTGAAAAGCTCTTCTCCTTTGAAAGAATATTCAAAAACAAAATTTCTTTCTAGCGCTGATGATGTTACTTACTTGGACGATATGTTTGCAAGAAAACAACTAAGCTCAGAGAACACCAAGGATCCCACAAAATGTCTTATATTAAACTGAAATAGTTAAGTAAAACAGATGGATTTTTTTTCTGTACAACACTCGTTGCATTAAGGCTAAAGCATCCAAGCTAAATTAACACTTATTTTTCCCTTGCCTTCTCTTGTCTTCCATCAATAGATAGCAGACTAAGCAGATTGAAAACTCAGACTGACTTTTCAAGTCCCAATTTATTTTGTTATTAAAAAAATTATTTGGTGTATATACTGAAACCAGTAGACTCAACATGGCTTACAAAGAGAGAAATGAGTGGTGGTAGCATTCATCTATTTTATTCATTTACTTATTAAACTGATTTAATATTGTTGTCCAATTGATACGCAACTCAGGAAAGGGTACATAAAGAAGAACAGTGCATAACAACCCAAGTAAACATTAAAAACAAACTCAAAAAACTCAAAGGTAAGAAAACTTTAAAAAGAAATATACATGGAAAACAAACATAGTCAGTTTGATCTAGTGGTTAAGGTACTAGACTAGAAACCAGGAGATGGTGAGTTCTAGGCCAGCCTTAACCTAAAAGTCAATTGGGTAACCTTGGGCTGGGGTCTCTCTCTCTCTCTCTCTCTCAATCCACCCCACCTCATAGTGTTGATGTTGTGGAAAAAATAGGAGGAGGAAGGAGTATTGGGTATGTTCACCGCCCTGAGTGATTTATAAAAATAAGCAGGATATAAATATATATTTAAATCAAATATGGCACCCAGGTCAACTTCATCCAACCAAAATCAACCAGAATGGATAATACCTCTTGAGTCAGTGCCTGGGGAACAAGCCAGGTCTTGAGAATCTTTCGAAAGGCAGATAGGTTCAGGATCATCAGTCTTGGGAGAACTGTTAACTACAGGGTGGGCATGGCATCAAAGAAAATATCTGAGTCCAATCAGATGCTGCTGGACTTTCTTCTTAGATGTTCTTGAGACCCCCCCAACCTTGTGAAAAGAAGATAGAAGACCAATTATCCTATAAGTGGTGGTTTCATTGGTCTACCTTGGGAAGGCTGTTTTCATCATAGTTGAGGATCATAGAAACCATAAACTATTAAGAACTGGGGAATAGACCATCTCCTTTTCCTTTCCTCTCTTTTTCCCTCTTTAAATTAGAAGCTTATGGACAGTTGACTGGTTAACATTACTCTCCTAAGCTCATTTTAGAAACTTTAAAGCTGAAAGGTGGGATATAAATGTGCCAAAGTACATGTGAATTTGCATTTTGTGCACAGCCTCTATCCACCATAAGTTACTCACATAGCCTTGGAGACCAATCTTTGAATACCCGTCCCAGCTTTGGTTTACTAATGACTGTTTATTCAAAATTTCCATTTCTGAACAATTACGCTGGAATACTACCATGACAGAGATCCAGTACCCAATCTAATAAAATTAATCTTCAATATTAATCAATACATGAATCTCCACAGACAAATGGAATAGTCAGGAATGGCTATGTCTATTAGTGGCTTTTTTCAACCATGGTGATATTCGTATTTTAGTCTCAGGGATTAAAAACGAAGTGGCTTTTAAGACATGACGTTTATTGGTCTAAGAGTAGTTGCTTTATGGCTTCGGTTTGCAATAATGATTTTATTATGGCTATGACACACATTTTAAAATGCAATGGTTTTATTCATTTTTGTAATCTGAAAGGTGTATAGTGATAGGCCATCTCCAGTTTTTGAGGTGTCCTCATCATCCCCACCGTCACCATCATTATCACAATGTCCACCATGTAATAACACTCTGTCCAGAAAGACTAATTATTCAAAATATAAACTTGAAAATGCAAATTTAAAGAAAGTAAAAAAATAGGCAAATAAAATGCCTGCATTATTTATTTTCGGTTCACATAAGGCGGCACCTATGCTAGTCAAAATGTTTTCCTAAGCAATTTGGTGTTTATAGCTGTTGTAGAGTTAAAATACTATTGTGTGGCTGTACCTTATCCAAATCTAGAGGAATGTTGAGATGTAATTCTAATAAATATGCAAGCAAACATAAATAAGCAGGCTTTGCTTCTGATAAGTGGACATATGTTTGACCACAACCCCAGTATATTGTTTTGTAATAAGGCTGTCAAGACTTCCAGCTGTAGAGTTATAATAATAACCTTTGTAAGATGTTAGAAAAATTCTCCTTTTTCCTCACATCTACCTCAATTCTATTGATTTTTCCTCTAAAGGCCCAATTTAATTTCCCTAGCAAATATTGTGTATGATGTATCTATTAATCATATTTATCTCCTACCTTTCATCCAGATGCATAGGCTAGTACAAAGAGCTCTATTCATTTCATCCCCACAATTAGTGGTATGCAAAACATTTTTATATTTGAAATATTTCAGACTTGAAATACTGCTTTTGAATTCACAACAGCTTGTCCTCACCGTTCTAGAAGTGTTTTGAGTTTGTAAAAAGATGTTTTGAGCTTGAAACTGGATCATGTTGACCTTGAAGCATGCCTGAAAACGGATGGAACAGTCCGTTTCCAAATTGGAAGCAGCAATTTTGAACCCCACTTTGAGTGTTTCACACTGAAATGTCTCAGATTTCAAACCTTTGCACACTGCTACTCACAACAATCTTGTGAGAGTTGCCCATTGGTTAAGAAATCAGGTGACCTAAAATTTATTCAGAATGATTCATGTGTAAGCGGCAATTTAAAGCCGGATCGTTTCTGATTTAGTCTGCTCCCTGACAGCTCCCTCATGCTGATTCTGATTGCATAGTGTGCTTTTGCAAGTAATTTCCTAAATGCAGTAGGGATGTATGTAAAATAGAAAATGATGCCACTTTTTTCGTAAAGCTTGCCAAGGCTCTGAATGGTGGTACTTAATGGAAGAACCAATTTTATGAAGTATCCTGCACAGGCAGTTGAACCCTGCAAAATGATTAGAATTATTTTATTGCTAGAAGTTGAGCAAACACACTTTTAATTCCTGTTGTTCTCTTCTCAGCTGTATTATACCTTTTATTTATTAATCATAAAACTATGGCTTAATAACTATTGTGCCTTTGTTCTTGCTAGAACTGTGATCTAGTAAATTAATCCAGGACAGATATTTGTATTTGAACATGTATATATCATTAAGTCGCCAGAAAATTTAATTCGGTGACTTTCTGTGCCTCCTCTGCCCATTCATTTTTATACTTTAAATTGCCTACAAGAAAGGAAAGCTCAAGGAACATTAGGCTACCCTTGGTGTTTGTGTTGGTGAATCGTCAAGAGCATTCAGATTCCTTAATCCCTCCCAAAGCTGAAGAACTGATGATTCCTGCAATGCTCAGCTATAAAACGGGTGACTGTGAAAATGAAAAGAAAAATATCCTTTTCTGCCATGTCTTTATTTCTATTTTAAACAAATAACTGCTCTTCATTTTAAAGGTTTGAGGACAGGATACAGCATGAGATCAATATCTGATGGGAGAAAATCAAACACCATGAAAGAGGAATTGTACTGAACCAAAACTTAACACAGGCCAAGGGTGCAATTTTAGGATTGACAACAGGATGCTCTAGGAACAAAAAAATGTGGTAGGGTGCATAACTGCGGCCTTGCAGATGCTGATCTGCAACTTTCAGCTTTCCTCACCATTGGGTGTGCTTCCAAGCAATGTAGAACTTCTGCAACCTCCAGATGCTCACAGTTTGCCCATCCCTAGCTCATAAGATGACACAAGTCTTCCTCCATGCTGTGTGGAAACTTCTATCATCTACAATATGTCAACGTGCCACCAGAAACTTTACTGTCTCTAAGGTAGCACTGTTGAGTGAAGGTCTGTTGAGTGATTTCTCTTTGCTGACCTTTCTTTATTCCCAACTTTCCCCTGTTCCTTACAGATCCTCGGTAAGGGGAGACAACGAGAGTTTGCTAGAAAAAAAGACTTTAAGAAGAATATCTATGGAGATTCTCGGTTATCTAAGTCATAATTGTCCCAAAGGTGCTTTTCAAAAGGCAACTGGAAAGTGTAGATATTATTTGGTTGTGTATTTTGAGCCTTAAATTGAATGTTTTGTGTTTTACTTTGAAGACATTTTGCTTCTCATACTAGAAGCTTCTTCAGTTCTTCAGAAAATTCTTCAGAACTGAAGAAGCTTTTTGGATGAGAAGTGAAACATCTTGAAGGAAAAACAAAGTCCAGTTGCCTTTTGAAAAAGCACCTTTGGGAACTTAAGAAGAACTCCTAGGAACTACCGAATGTAGAAAGAACTGGTCAGATCATTTAACTAAAGGGTCCTCTCAACACTCTTAGCAGCAGTGACTAGAAAATATTGTGTAATTATGATGAATTCAGTCTTGCATGCAAATGTAACTATTTCATAGGCTCCCTATTTCACAGGATCCCCAAACTTGTTCTGCAAATCAAGTTTGACGGGTTTTCTGAAAAAATCAGTATGGGCATGGACAATCTCACCTTGAGTGGGGATGATGTTCCACAGGGGTGAATGCCATAGCAGAGAAGAATAATCTCCTGGATCAGTTGGACCTAATGAGACAGGTAGATATAACCAGGGAGAGTTACATTCAATTTACATGGTATCATGGATATTTGACCTTTTTTTTAAAAAAAAAATACACATATCCTTCATAGGTAAAGCTATGAAGTTGTTGCTAGTTTAACAACTACAGATAAAGAGATAAGAGAGAGAGAAAAATCCAATTGGGAGTTCTCTATGTTTTATTTCTCTTTCTTAATCATTTCCTCCTTTCTATATGTGTATATGTGTTTATAGTCTTCATTTGGAGAACTCCAATCAGGAAATAGATCTACCCACAACAATGATCCACATAGCAGTAACCTTGTGATGTACATTAGCCTGCAGGTTAATGACTGATACAAGATGTATTATTAAATTTTGTGCACCTTACATCTAATTAAGGGTGTTTTTTTTTGTAAGCTCTATTTCATTACTCTGATTAGAGCCTGCCTATGAAAAACACGTTTAGCGAAAGTTTTCATTCTTCATGAGGTTCAATAATGTCACGGTCTGTGGACATTTTCCAAGCACAATTGTCAG